CAGGCTATTAGTGATAGAATAATACAAAATCACAGTGCTTTTACAAAGGCAAGTAGTAGTACAGGAGTACGAGTTGAGTATCCCTTATCTGAAATGCTTGGTACCAAAAGTGTTTCAGATTTCGGTACAGGCTATTAGTGATAGAATAATACAAAATCACAGTGCTTTTACAAAGGCAAGTAGTAGTATAGGAGTACGAGTTGAGTATCCCTTATCTGAAATGCTTGGTACCAAAAGTGTTTCAGATTTCGGAATTTTTTCGAAAAAAAAGAGATTTGGGGATATTTGCAGATACTTAACTTGTTGAGCATTCCTAATCTGAAAATTCGAAATCCAAAATCCAAAATGCTCCAATGAGCATTTCCTTTGAGTTTCTTGTCAGTGTTCAGAAAGTTTCAGATTTTTGGGTTAGGGATGCTCAACCTGTAGTGATGGAAGAGTTTACCTGAACAGCAGATTTGTTCATCTATAAATGTGACATTTAATGTGACACTTTTAGAATTGCCTTAGTCACAGTTTTAATTCAGATGGTTTAGCAGAAGCAATAATATAAAGGTAGTACTCTTGACCAGGTTCTCATGAACACCATGTTATTGAAGTGAAAATTAGAAACTTGAAAGAGAGCAAGTCAGTCTTAAGACTCTCACCTACCAAAAAAGAGAACTTTGGGCTTAGTTAATTACTCTGTATATAGTAGTTCTGAAATTTCACTGCATGTAGTTGTAAGATGTCTTTGAAGGGAGTAGAAGTTCTTAAAAGCTTCATTGTTCAAAAATGAGTCTGATGAAGAAAAGGGAGTGATAAGAAATAAGCAACTGTTTCCTAATGTATATGGTGGGCAGTGACTGTAAAACCTATGACATTAGAATCAGAAAGTATATTAACAGGGTAACAACTAAATTTAATAAATTGTTTAATTGGCTCTACCAAACTAATTGCCTTAGTGTGCTTAAGACAGAGTGAAATTATGCAGGAAAATTAAGCATTTTTGTTTGCCGGTAAGCTCAGTATGGCTGCCTAGAAGTTATCATAGTGTTTTAGGAATAGGATTGATAGTGCCACCTTACTCATTGCAGCTCTAACCATACCTGAAGTACATGTTGAGGTCTCCTTAATAGTAGAAAAGCATTGAAAAACTAGGGCACTTTTCTAGAGAAGAATGGCCAGAATTGTGAAGGAACTAGAATCATAAGGGGAATGATCTCTATTGTTTTCAATAAGCTGGAGTTCATGATTTTGCTGATTGTTATGTTAGGATATTCAAAAGATGTCCAGAGAGCTGTAACTATCCTGGCAGAAATGTTAAAACTAGGGGAAGGCCAGTTAGCTCAGTTGGTATTGATAACACCAAGGTCTATGTTTAGATCCCTGTACCAGCCAGCTGCCAAAAAAAAAACCCAGAAAAAATGGTAAGACTAATAAAAGGAGATGTTAACAGAATGTTAAGAATAAGAAGACTAAAGAAGATCCAGCCTATTACAATGAAGAGCTGTCAGTGGAATATCAGAAATATGTAACTTACTTTGCTTCAGAAATTTTTTTTTATAAGAGGATAGAATGGAAAGAGCAGAATTGAACATAATAAAGTCTAAGATAGGTGATAGAGTAAGAGTCCTGTGTTGCTGCAAATGAATTGTTGTCTCTAGGTTTAAATAAATTACATTTCAGGATACTGAAGTTGAGGGGTTGTTAGACTCATAAATCGGGTAAATGCTGTAGGCATAGCATATGTGGATTTCAGTAAAGCCTTTGACAGTCTTTCCTGCCACTTCTACAAAAAAAGATAGAGGAAAGTGGATTTATAATGGATCAAAATGTGGCATATAATGAGTGTTAATGCCAACCTTGAAAGAAATCTTTGCTAGCTTCTGTTATCCTTGTTTTCCATTTTTTTCTAATATTTTTATTGATGCTTCGCATGAAGACATTGATGAAGAAACTAGAGATGTATACCAGGATGTATATTAAGGATGTATATCAGAAAATAATTGTCATTTCCCACCTGGACCCAGGGGCCCTTTTTAATTTTAGATATTTTTAAGTCATCTTAGAGATAGTTTACAGAAGTGAGACTAAAGAGATGAGGTGAAAACCTTATTAGGAATTTTAATATAATTTAAATGTAACAAATCTTTTTGTGTTAATTAAATTTAAATGTCACATGTTCTTTTAGCAAAATGGACCATTCCAGAGTTTTGTCACAAAATACTGCAAAATGAAGTACTTCCCTTTGAATGTTTCATTGGATTAGAATACCATATTTCCTTTCTTCTTTTTTGTTCTTAGAAATATATTTTTCACATTACTTCCTGGGCTTGAGAAATTCATTTAGGGTATGGTCATCTGAAACTCATAGTCTTCACCATCATCATTAGAGTTTAGAATGCTGCTATTTCTTTGCATTCATCTTCTACTTTGTCTAATAATTGTGAAATATATTCCTCTGTCAGTTTTCTTCTCTTTGCCATTACGGCCAGAAAATAAAAAAATATGAATATCCAAACCGTATTCAGGGAAAGCTAAACGCAGACTACAAAGCTGGTGTCTCCAATCCTTTTTCTTGAAATGTAATGTAATATTTTTGGTAAAGCATTAAAATTAAATTATTTCAGTATCTAATCATTCTTCTCAACAATTCCATTACTTTTTCTTTAGTCATTTTTGACATAATTGGAAATAATTGTTAAGTAATGATGAGTAATAATGAAATAATTCCTGGGCTGATGAAATAGCAAAATGTTTCAAAGTATAGGAAAGTAAGACCTCTAAGATCCCATAACATATCTCAGATTCGTTAAAGGGTCCAGTAGACCTCAGGCTAATTGCAAGATAATAAAATACATTTTAGTGTATTTTTTAAAGTTAATTTTCTTTTTGGTCTTCATGAGACCTCTAAGAAAGAATGAAAGTCATGAAATAGTGATCTTTTCAAATAGGTAAAACTGCTCAAAGAAGAAACTCAAAAACTTCAAACTGGTTGCAGTGGAGCCTTGTGGTTATACCAAAAGTTAACCCATTAAATAGCTAATTAAGGGTGTAAAAAAAGTGGAGTGAAATAGATATGGGGCTTAAGGTGAGTGTTGATGTAAGAAATAAATGATGTGAGGAATATATGAGCACTTAATTAGGAATAATTTTTTTTTTTCCTTTTTGTCTTTTTTCGTATCCGGCAACGGACCACAACCCTCAGTGTCGCGCCCGTACCGGACCGGGACCGGCAACGGGATCGCAACCCTCGGTGCTGCGCCCGCCCCTCGCTCAGCCAGTGAGCGGGAACCGGTCTGTATGTGGGATCCGAACCCTCGGCGGGAGCGCCACCGCGCTCCCAAGCGGCGCACTGTAGCAGTGCACCACCGGGCCGGCCCAGGAATAATATTTAGGATGAAGTTGAAAATCATCTTGCTGTGTTGCTAAGAATTTTATTGTTATTGTACAATTTTAAAGGTTAATCCAGGACTGTGCTTAAAACACAATTGATTTGTTCTGGAAGAGTATGCTTATTGACTAACTTTTTGGTAAATACTGTGGTATAGAACAGACCTTTAACTAATAGAAGACGCCTTTCTGTTTTAATTCTAACTTGAGCTTTAATTTAATCAATTTCTAAACCTTGAAAATGTTACGTGTCCCTGAGGAGCCTCTTTCCTCATAAGTAAGGAGACTTGGAACTGTTTTTTAATGCTCTTTTTGGCTTTTTATTTTTATGTTGCTTTCTTTTCTTCCAGTTTAAATGTCATTACTTGTAAGAGTAATATATTTTAAACTCCCTGGTAAACAAACCACTATTGTAATTGGTTTGATGCGGTTTGGCATGACTGAAATCCTGATCTTGATTTGAAATTGTTTTATTGTAAAGGCATGTAAAATATTCAATTTTACTATATATTTAGTGATACTGTTAAAGAATACTGAGAGTGCTGAAAATAGCAACCATATGCTATTGTGTTGGTTATTCTTTTTTTTTTTTTTTTTTTTTTTTTTTTTTTTTTTTTTTTTTTCCTTTTTGTCTTTTCTCCTGACCGGTAACGGGATCGCAACCCTCGGTGTCGCGCCCGTATCGCGCTCAGCCAGTGAGCGGGAACCGGTCTCCATATGGGATCCGAACCCTCAGCGGGAGTGCTGCCGCACTCCCAAGCGGCGCACTCTCCAGTGCGCCACCGGGCCGGCCCTGTGTTGGTTATTCTTACAGAGAATAAGATGAAAGGAAAGTAGATCAGATTGTAGCCAGAATAAGTTCACTCTCATAAAAAGGACATTTTGTAATTGAAATAAACTATTCTCAGGGCTTTTAGTTTAGAAAAATCAAATGTACTAAGGCAGTTTAAATTCAATACTTCCTAAGGCCAGTAAATTGCATGAAACAATTCTTGAGGATCATTCTTACACATTTATTCTATTGCTGAATGTCTTTGGAATTCCCTGCACAAACTGTTAAAAAAAAAAACTTCTTGAAATTATTCTAGCATGATGCAACTGAAGCAAAATTAAATGGCCTAACTAGTCTGTTTCTTGACCTTTTGACAGATAAGGATGCCAACTACCTAGTGATTTCCAAGAACAGAGCTTCTAAAATCTTGTCTTAATAGGGAGTTGGACATTATCTAAGTTCATTGATAGGTGTTACCTCCTGTGTTCTCTTGTTTGATACCATAGAATTTCTTAAACCTAACTAAAATTATTTATAGTCTCCCTAAACTAGTACTATGTATATATATGTCATCTATACTTTTTTACAGAATATTTTCTTTTTAAAAATTGATCTTATTGGGCCGGCCCGGTGGCACACTGGAGAGTGCGCCACTTGGGAGCGCGCTGGCGCTCCCGCTGAGGGTTCGGATCCCATGTGGAGACCGGTTCCCGCTCACTGGCTGAGCGCGGTGCGGGCGCGACACCGAGGGTTGTGATCCCGTTACCAGTCAGTAAAAAAGACAAAAAAAGGGGAAAAAAAAAATTGATCTTATTTATTGCCTTAGCAGTTCTAAAATGTAGGTAGACACCTGTAATCCTTTTAGGGAAGCTGAAACTCAAGAGTTCAGT